TCTACTATGGACATAACTCTCTGTAATTTACACTCTCAACAAGTCAATCTTCGTGAGATATTTCAATATTGAGAGGGGAGTTACAAACTATGTAACAACATTTTCAGTAAATAAAAACAGAAAGAGAACATGAGCGTGCCAAAATTGAAGAATAACATGCTAGAATAGAGTTAGAGCGTGCAAAATTTTAGCAGTTGCATGATCGATTCGATCATTTTATAATTTTATGCAATAATAATTTTTAGGAAATGATCTTGGTGCTCCACCAACTCAGGTATTATATTTAGTGAATATTAAAATTTTTAAATAAAAAAAGTATACAATGAAGTGTTAAAAATTGTATGGTATTATTCAGTAGGTTTTTGAGCACGCTAGTGACCAAGGTGAAAAATTTTCTTCATCAATTGGTAGCCAGCAAAATATATGCAATCATCCATTTCATACATTTTAATTTTGTATTTTGTTAATATATTAAAAATATTTGAATGTTATTATACTAATTATTAAACTTTGTATTAATTAGATGTATATTTAAACGTGAATGAAGTTAAAATTAATTTCAGTTTTTGAATTTAAGCTCTTTACTAAAAATAAAATTTATTATAAAAAAATAAAAAATATATATATTTTTATATAATGGCGGCGTTTGCGTTGAGCAATGCTGCTAAATGAATAATTTAGTTGCGTTTGTAGCATAAAACGTCACTATAAGTAGCGACGCTCTTTCCAGTAAATGTCACTAGTTATGGGCATTTTTTATAGAAATGCCACTAAAGTAACAGCATTTTTCTCATAAAAATGCCATTGAATTAGCAACGTCTACAAGATATAAATACCGTTAATATTGAAGCATTTTCAGATTTAAATGCCTCTAAAGTAGCGAGATTTTCTGTTACAAATGCCGTCAATGCAACGATATTTTTCTTATAAAAATATCACTAAATTAGCGACGACTAAAAGATACAAACGCCGCTAATATTAAGTCATTTTCATATTCAAATACCTCTAAAGTAACGGCATCTCAAAGATATAGACGCTGCTAAAATGACAACGTTTCAAATATAAACGTCGTTAATATTGAAGCATTTTTTAAAAATATCGCTATTTATCGTAACACGTATATAAGCGACACTCTGCATGACGTTTTTCATAAACGCCGCAAACCTTATAGTGGCATTAATAAATGTCGCTAAACAGTAAAAAAAAACGCCACTAAAAATCAAAATCCCTATAGTGGTGGCAGAATATGGAATAAGGCCAAGCATGGTGTAACATGGAATTTTATCTTCATTCCAATCTTGCATATGGATCCTTGAAGCAACCTCAACATTCATAATACCATCTTTTTTTAACTTATTCTTTGCAGGGGCTACATTCTAGATGAATTCATCAAATGATTGAAAGTCTAAGATCTTGTATATCATCACCTAACAGTTTTTCTAGGCAAAGCTTGGGAAATTCTTTCATTAGACCAGCTGATCACCCAATTTTGCAATTGAACATTGTGACAACTATTGCTTGTTAAGTCCACGAAAAACATTAGTATGTGGCATCATAATATTTCTTCACCCTTAGATCGATTCCAGTTATGTTAAGAGCTTTCATGGCCTTAATAAAATCAGTGTACTTATTTGTAGCAATAGCAACTACCTTAGAGGGTAAATTACATAAATATATCATGAGGTGTAACGTGATTTGAATTTACCTCCTAAAGTTTAAAATATGACATTTAATTACTTTATTATTTGTTTTATTATATTTTTATCCAAAAATGTTACTTTTTTTGTTTTTTGTTTTATTTTTTTCATCTTCAAGTCATCTTCTCTCTCTATAATTCATCTTCTCTCTCTAAAATCATATAAATTCTCTCTAAACAACTAAATGCAAAACCATAGAAAACTCTTCTTCACAAACCCAAAAAAGCAATCTCAAACCAAAACCCAAAATTTTGATTTTACTCTTGGATTTATGATGTTCTTTGGCTGTGTTGATTATTCTTGGTTGAGACTTTTAATTTTTTTATTTATCTGTTTGTATTCAAATTTTAAATTTTGTGTTTTTTTAAAAATGAAAATTTTGTAATTAGGAATTGTATCAAACATCAAACAAATAACCAATTTCAATTGGACAACCACTAGAAATCCAGGAACAACCATCAACAAACCAAAAAATCTAGAAACAAACCTAATAGCCACTAAAAAATCACAAAACCACTAGAAAAACTCATAGAACCCAAATCCAACTTGAATTATTCACATACAATAAACCCACAAAACAACCACAAATTCACATAATAGCCACAAAAACTCATCAACAAAGATTTTTCTCTTTGTGGATTTCGATTTAAATTTTTTGAAAATTTTTGAGTTTTTAAAACAAAGATGAAAAAAAAAAAAAGAGAAGATTAATTGGCGACACACCCCCATAATAATATATTTTTTTAACATTTGATCCTCTCTTATTGAAGAACATTGTAAAAAATTTATGTTTCCAACCCAATTTTTTTAAAAGAGTTTGAATACGAAAAAAAGTAAATAAAGTTTTTTAAAAAAAAATTATGATTTATTAATTAAATATTAACAGTATTAATAAAAACTAATGAAATATCACGAATATACAACTTAAAATGATTAAATGTCTCTTTTTAAACTTCAATAAACTCAAATTGTATTAAATCTCAAAATATATTTATAAAATTTATCCATACTTTAATACTTTTGGTTATCAAACCTTGAACAAAAAGCAACTGCTGCGGTTGTTCCATCGCCAGCCAAATCATTGATCTTTGAAGCAGCCTGTCTCATCAATTTAACCCATATTCTGCACAGCATCTTCTAACTCAGTCTCCTTACAACATTTACACCATCATAAACGTTCATCAGTAAATAATTTTTTTTGTTATATATTTTTAAATAATAATATATATTGAACAAAAATTGCATCTCGTACAAATAAATAAAAAGCATATTATTAAACAATATTTGCATTAATATGTAATATTTATCTATGAGCAAAATTTATTAGATTAATATAAAGCTTATTGCTTTTAACATAATTAGAACTTTAAAGATAAAATATTTCAAGTAAAAATTAATTTTTTTATTTATCAAATAAATCTATTTAATGAATGTCTATCAACGAAGATAAAATTTTTTTTATAAATTGGATAATATTTATGTAAGAATTTTAAAATAACAATTTAAAAATATAATAATCAATATGTCTACCTTCTCCGGTTAAAAATTTTACTAACACCCGTACTTTTACATATTATTAATATTTATTGTGGCATACAATGTAGGTGAATACTCACAGTTTGATCTATTTTTGAACGCATAATTTTATGTTTTATAAATAAATAAAACTAATAAAATGTATATGAATCGAAATTTATATTAACATATATAGTGTGTTCCATGTGAAAATTATATCAAATTAATACAAAATTTATTGTTTTTAATGTAAAATTTAAAATTATGAAGATAAAAAATTCAATGTGAGCTTTAATTTTTTTTTTTATTTATCAAAAAAATTCATTTAAGATTAATAAAAAATTAAAACTCTAAAAATAAAACAGTTCAATGAGACCTTCAAGTCTTTTTTATTTATTATCAAACAAAAGTTTTTTCATAAAATTAAATATTTATTTATAAATTAATAAATTTTATTAATAATACAAGATATTTATGATGGCAATTTAGAAATACAATGAATGATCAATTCAAAAGTTGCTTCACATCCATATTATATATATAAAACGAAAATTTACAAATATAGTGAATGATGATTCTTTTGGTCAATTCAAAATTTTTTCATATTCATGTTTTTATTTATATTATAAATTGTATATATAAATATAGATTATATATTCGATGTATAAATAAATGTAGACTAAAAATTAAATGACATTTCATATAAAATCAAAGTCGTGTAACTTCTCTCTACTCCTGAGTTCACATACTGCACATGTACATGTGTTCTTTTACTGCAAGAGCTTATTTAATGATTAAATTTTTATGGGATAATTTATTTATATTTATAGTTAAATAGACAACATACAAGCATATAAACTTGTTTATTGATTTTATTTTTGAAACTTCAAGTCCAAATCCTATTATGTCTTATTCTGTACAAGTTTGATTTATTTTAATATTGAATTTATCTAATTATAAGTAAACATTTAATTTAATTTATTAATTTCTTATATAAAATATAATATATTTGATTATAATCAATTCAATTCAAATTATTAAAAAACATAGTAGGATAAATATCACAATTCAAAATGCCCTATTTTATGCCATGACTTTTTAAATTTAAAAAAAAAAGTATTCAAATTTTATCCGAAATTATATACCATGACCTGGATGAAAAAAATACGCCAAGGTAAGGTGAAGTAACAGTTTCTTACAATACTTCTCCCAACAAAACGAGCAAGTAATAAGGTGAAGAGGAAAACCTTGAGCTTAGCCAAGTATATGAAACTCAAAAGTCGAAACTACAGCTGGATGCAGATTTATTTTTTTACGCTCAACATCAAGCCATATTCAGAACAACATAGTCAATCAGCTAAAGCAATTTTCTTCGCTGATCTTAGTGCAGAGGTAAATTCACGTATATAGTAAAGGTATGTTTGGTGTATAATTATGATAAGATAAAATAATGTTACGAATGAGATTAAATTAAATGTTATCATTTTATTTTGTGTTTGATATGCACAAAAATAAAAATAAAAATTTATTTATTTTTCAAAATTATTTTTTCTCAAAATTTTTATAATTTAAATTATTAATGTAATTTTTTAAAAATAATAAAACATGTAAATTTAATCTCATAGATTAAAAATAATCATCTGTGCTTGAAAAAGATTAAATCATTCTATATCAAAAAGATGATTAATCGTCTATAAAATTTTATCTCTTTCTTTGGATACAAATCAAATATAATATAAAAGGATTATCATCTTATGAGCCATACATAACTTAAGTATGTATAAATATAATGTCCATACCCTTTTTTACAAAGAAAAACTATATTGTTGCTAAAGAATCACAAGATCAATTTACATTTTCTAAGAACAGTTTTTATAATATTTATAAAAGAAAAAGAAACAATTCTAAAATTTTAAACAAAGCAAGCAAAAACGTACCTACAAATATTAATATACCAATTATGTTACAGTCCAAAGGCCACCCTTTGAGCAAAATCTGGTCTTCTTTTAGTGGGCATTCGAAGAAGTCCTGTAATTTGGAGCTCTGTTACAGCCCTGCAAAAGCGTGCTCTGTAGCAAGAATGGTTAAGGAGTCTCATAACAGAAGCAGAGAAGCAATGTTCAGTGAAAGCAGGCTTTATACAGGACATTAGTCCTAAGTTGAAAAGTCATAATATAACATAAGACCTTGCACCCCAAGGGCTCCAGCAAAATACACTTGGGGCAAAGTAATATATCATGGTCACTCCTTTCTGCAAGGAAGCTTGAGCTGAGCCAGTTTACTTTGTAATTTTTAGAGTTACATAAATTACCTAAGACTAACAGTAGCCAATAAGCAATGCACTGCAGCAAATAAGATCCCAACATGAATATTTAATGGGTTTCCTAACATGGACTGAGTTGCTTTAGTCGAAACAGCCACAAAAGAATTTGTAACAGAAACAATTAAGTGAAAAGACTAACAAAATATAATAACTGAATGTGTCCTCATGATCTGGATGCCGAGTGGGCTTTGTCAACTTTGTTATTATAGCTAAAAGTAAGAAAATTATGTACTAAATATGCCTATCACCCAGTTGCAATGCATGCCAAAAAAAATATATACCGCATCAACTTACTGAAAATAAATCTAGAAGAATGCTACACCAAAGGATACTGTGTGGAAGCTTCACTCTGGTTTTCTGTTTCGTTTATATCTTTTCTTTTCTTCGGTAATGGGGATTGTCTTGATTTCCTTTTACTGCTACTAGGGCGGAGAACCACTGATTTGAATGATTGGTACCAGTCATGGAGATTGATAAGATCACCATGCTCCTGAGCAAGTTTATACCTAAAACCACACATGATGGCAATAGACTAAGTTTAAACAAAGATGATATTCCATGTCTCAATAAGAAAAAGAAAAACTGCATATATAACTCCAGAACTAGCCAAGCAGGCATAATGGTCCATTAAGGACGTTGACACATAATGATACACCAATTACTAAAAACAGACAGGTCTGGAGAAAGTGGGTTAAGGAAAATGCATCTCTTCAGATCCTAAACCCAATAAATCATAATAAGCAAAATATGGAGCTAAAATTTTACAGTAATGGTCCCTGCCCATTCTGTTTTTCAAGAAGGAAATTATACATAACTTCACGTGCTGAACTGGAATGAATACACTAATATATCTTCAATGAAAGGCTAAAGATGTGAACCCACAGACATAGCACCCTTTCACAGGATGGATCAAGGCAAGCATTATATTCTCTGAAGGGAGGGAAGAAAAAGAAGAAAAAACGCCCTTATATTTTATTCCTCCAAGTGTCTGAAACCATAAAGTTGAGAGAATTGATATGATTATAAAAAGGAGTGTGTCTGACATCTCATGCAGAACTCAACTCAAAGGGGAGGAGGGGTATCATTCAGCAACAGGTCTTGGCAGCAATTAGCTACTTAGCTGGAACAGGCAGAGAAGCAGCCTTTGTTGATAAATGCTGCTGAGAACTTAAAATCTATCACTTATCACTTCATTAGGGAGAAAATAAAGAAAAAATCACCAGGCGGGAAATGCATCGATGTTCTAAAATGCTTAAAAGCCATCGACAACAACATTAGAGGGACCAAAAAAAGGGAAAATAAATCCAGCAACCTTGTTCATTACCCCAAATAAGATGCTGTATTAATAAAATGAGCAGGTCATGCAATCTAGACTCAAATGAAAGGACAAGACCAAAAGGATGAAATCCAATCCATTCAAATATGTGTCCATAACTCACAAGTCTTGTATGAAATTGGATAGGACATGAGATGGCAGTCATTAACAATTTGGGGATCATAAGTACGATTTCAAATAGACCATAACTACCATTTAAGTTAAATAATCATTCTCTTTGTCAAGATAACTAAAAATGCAAAAATACTTACATTATGGACGTATCATGCATGGATGGTAATAGGGCATTGCTGCCACTGATACAGCAACTACAGTGGAGGAGTTTCTGGAATTCAAGAAGATCAACCTGAATCCTTCTTCTAGGGTCCCCAATCAAAGCCTGATACAAAGTCAAAATATAGAACTTTGAAAACACCAAAATTTAAGTTCCAAGAACTTCTAAAGTGGAAGGAAAGTTAAACTTCATGCAAAACAAGGAACAAGGAAAATGAGAAACTATGATGCTATATATTATTGCTTATAAAAGTTCCTATCTGGTAATATTTTTTGGGAAATGCAAAGGTTTTTGCTCTACATAATCGAAGGCAAGGTTCATTTATAGTCATTTACTCTTTTATATTCCACTATGTTACTTTCCTCTAATGAAATGTAGTGAATTCAAGCTTCAATCAAACATATCAAATAAGGTTTTATTCCTTGATGAAAGCCGAGTGGTTTTTTGGTAGAGTGCTGGTCTCTTAATTCTAGTGACCAAGGTTCAAATCCTAGCAACCTTAAGTATAAAAAAAAGGGTTTTATTCCTAATGTTCACCAACTCTAGACATATAATTAGGCTGCTATTGTAGACAACTATGTTTTTTTGATTTCATAATAAGATGGGAGACAAACATAAGTGATAACAAACTGCCATATCAAATTTACAACAGCAAGCACTTTGTTAATGCTGCAGCAACAGTTATGATTGCCAGGAAATTGTATCAAGCAACATTCTTTGCAGCTTTAGAAAAGCTTGCTTCGTCATATTCAAATAATGCAAATTAGAAGTCAGTGCTTACCAGTTGAAGTTTGTCAACATTTTTAAAACAGAAAATTTCATGAAAAGGTATGCATTCAATGGGCTGCATATAATCCCTGTTTCACAAGAAATTACAAGTCAGTAATGTACAAACAGGGTATAAAGTGAACAAACTTGCAGAAGAGACAGACAAGGCACGGGAATAAAATCGTTTTCACAACACAGTAACCAATATGCGATGGCTATAACAAGTTTTACATGCTATCTATAATGCAAATAAGTAGCCAGTATGCCAAAACAGAGAATAAACAGTAGACGGTTCCCTTCAGCTCCTTGAAATAAGAATGAAATTAACCATTTGAAAAACACCATTCATAAACAGAGCCTCCCATTTGTATGAAGAGCAAGATGGGGCCGAAGGAAAAAAGGAAATATTTATGCAACTGACCCAAATTATTTTTGCACAAATAGAATGCAATCAGACTTTGCACGAAAGAAGCACAAGTAATAAACATGTAAAATACATCCAATTCAGAGAAATCCATAGCAACAGTTTTAGTACCTCCCCTCACGTGTAGGTCCATCAGAATTCACAAGTATGTACCCCAAAAACATAGCAATAAACAAACTAGGCTATAAAACCATGTTAAGCATCCCAACTAAACCAATTGGCAATAAACGGGCTCAACCTTAATAGAAGGTCAAAACAAACTTCAACCTACCTTGATATGGAAATTCTATCTCATTCAACCCATGTGTAGGTCCATCAGAATTCACATGTACCTCGAAAACGTAGCAACAAACAACCTAGTGTATAAAACTGTGTTAAGCATCCCAACTAAACCAATTGGCAACAATGATGGAAGCCCAACCTAAATGGAAGGCCAAAACAAACTTCAAACTACAATGATATGGAAATTCTATCTCATTCACTAGGTTATTTTATGGAATTCACCTCAATGTTTTTAGCTCTCTCTGCTCTCAATTTTCACTTTCATGTGTCTGATATGTTTATGTCATCTCAATTATTTAAATGCAGGAAACTTTTGAGAATGTTAAACATATGTCAAAACTCTCAAACAGGAGTTTTAAAAATAGAGTATTAAAACACAGCATAACAAAAGCTCAGCTAGAAATAATTGAAGTTTAAAATAACATCACTACTTTTAATTTGGATGCTGTAGATTATTCAGCATCATGATACCAAAGAGTCCATATTGTCACTAAGAAAAATACCTATAATGCATGATAATGTATGAAAACATTCATAAGGTGGCTGCATTCAACTGCTTATCAATAACATGCACACACTTTCTTATGCATAGGATAAAATATTGGAGAAAATCAGAATATATAGATACAGATCAGTATCATTCCATCAAGTATAATGGACAGAGTCATGAAATGGCAAAACCAAAACAACCAAGAATAGGGATGTAAAGATGGGCACCGCTACCTAACCATGCACTCTAATAGATTGGCAGCCTTATCACTCAATGATTTTGAGTCCTTCTCATTATCCAATTGGATTCGAGATGCATGTCTCCTGTCATATAAATCAGTGAGGATGGAACAGTAAACAATTAGGAAAAGAATAGCAAAGAAAAACACAATTCATTTCTGAAATCACAAGCTATTACTACTACGGAAGCTTAGAGGAAGTAAGCAATTACTCCTTGCAAGAAAATTAACATAAAAATTCATAAAGATTGCTATTTTATATGAGCTTCACATGTGTCAACATCTCCAAATTCTCTATGCTTTTATACATTATTAGACAGAGAGAATGTTGAATAGTAACCAAACAAAACTAATAAAAACAGAAGGTACAAGGCATTTATCTGACAATGTTAAAAGTGATAAAAGCCTAGTATTAAGGTTATCTAAACAAAATATGACAATAGAAAATATTTAACCATATGATACATCGTAAAATCTTTCTAAAAAGAACCAAAACGATTTCAGGTAAGGATGGTTAATCTTCCGATTTAATAATGATCACAACATCAAAGATATCAAAATCTAAAACTCAAATGGTTGTATATATTCACAAGACTGGAAAAGAGATTTTAATCCCAAGCTTATCATATTATGTGATCAATTTTCCCAAAAAATGGGTATGATTTATTTTCTGAAGCAGTTGAAAAGGCAATAGTAATTACTTGGGTGTTATAATCAAATCTTTCTTTGAACTTTTTCCATCCTCTATTTTTAGTAAAGACTGCAACTCCTTCACCTTGTCGTTTATCTATAACAAGAATACAAATATCTTAAAAGTCATGTGGGCTGCCAGCTAAAAAGGAACATTAAAGCAATTATGCAAAAAGAAAAAAAAATAAAAAATGATCAGATAACAGAAGGATAAAGAAGATAGAAGACCATTTCAACTTCCCAATCATAAACGGCTAGAAAATAAAACTGCTGATTGAATATGATCCTCACACAGCATCTCATAGTCATACCAAAGCCATCTTCAAGATAGCATCCATTTGTGAATTTATATAAAATTGTAGAATAGGAACAGCTCTTTTGCTCAACACAATCTTAACTGTATTATTACTCTCAAGTAAATATTCTTAAAAGATGCACCAAGAGGATTCTCCTTTTTCCTTTTTTCTTTCTTACTTACTGAAAAAAATACTCCATGCTATCAGAAACTCAAAGGAATCTGCCCAATATACAATGAACCATTTGCGCTGCCCATGAAACAGTGAATCAAAGAACAATAAATTTTAAATAATGCCCAGAAATAGGGTGGTTTTCATATTTCCCCCTAGCAATTAGAATACCTTTGGATCTTTATTCCCTTCCCCCAATGAAACAAAGATGTCAACAAAAATGTGAGATCATGAATAAAACAGATCTAGCAAATATGACCTGTATTCATTTCCGGCCTTATTTGAAACCCTCCATAAGCAGGAAACTGAAATAGTATTGTCATTCCTATAATTCTTTGAACGGGAAAGTTAATGGTTTTGTTTAAGACTATTTAAGCTAGGCATTAGAAGTAAAGGTGTATGCTCATAATTGTTACATTTGCAGGAGATGGCCTTAATTATGGTCTATGTGTCTTTGATTGACCCAAGTAATGTTATTAGGTCATTATCATGCATGTAAAATAAAATTTCTATAGCTTCTGATATCGCAGTCTAAATCTTTGAATGTCAGGAACATTTAGAGGTCTACATATTTTCATGTAATGCAGTGAAGAGCAATCCAGAACAGATACAAGTTCAACAGCCTTGGAGCTCTTTACCTTAGGTGTCATGCACATGAAAACTTGATGCCATACTTTGGAAATTTTTCTTCTCCCTTTAGTTTCTAGGCTATACATCTGAGCCATTTATTGCAATCATAATTGAATATTTCCATGCCCACCTAACAAAATCCTAAGTTGCATCGAAGCTTTATCCATCCCCTATTGCAACCTTTTTAGATGTGCTAAGCACAAACAATTTTATGTAAAAATTATTCAAGATGGATTATACATTAAAATTATGATAGCGCATAAACAATAAGACAAAAATAATTTAATTTGGATGTAAATTTGATAATTAAGCTGGTAGGATTTTAAGATATCATAACGAGCAACTGCTTCATTCAAAAGCTTGGAAGAGACTAGCCAAGCCTCTTAAACTTCTATCGATGAGAGTCAAGAAAAACAAATAATACTTTATTACCAAGATAATCAATATGGAGATAGATATAAAACAGAAAACTAAGGCTAACAGAGCCAAGAAACAACTTTGATTATAATATAGCTGTACTTCTTGTATAAGCAAGATCAAGAGAATCAAAATCATTCTTTTTCTTTAAAAAGACATAATTTGTTAATATTTCCTTATAAGCAAGCATCTGAAGAATATTTACCCTTCTAGGAAAGTATCAGTAAATAGAGATACAGTTGTTATCTTCATGGATCAATGCTTTATGCAGTACCATACCTCAGGAATGCCCACAGTAAGGTTTTTCCATATCTTAAGCAATTTACCAAGCTGTCCAGTCGAAAGATCCCTAATTGAATTTCAACTTCAGTACAGTGAATAAATGACAAAAACTATTACCACGTAATCAATAGCAAGAAAATTGGAGCCTGTTTAGTTATAAAAATTGTTTTCCATTTTCCATCTCCATATTTGCATTATACATGATCAATAAATAAGGACAATAACTAAATTTGAAATCCCTTGTTTTCCAATTTTTGTAAAACTGGAAAATAGTTATAAATTGCTTTCCAACTTCTTAACCACATACGGAAACCATGGTTTTCCAATTTCCAAAATTTTGTTATTTACCGTATCTTATTAATCATATTTAGAGTGAAAGTGGAAATAGAAAATGGAAAACATTTTATAAAACTAAATGGACCCTTAGTAATATTAGGTTCACCAAACAGAAGAAGATAAGGGTTTGGACACAAAAATTATTCACCCCTTCCAACCAGGATTAATGAAAATTCAACTGTTTCTCATACAAGAGTACCAAGGATACTCATTAAATTGAACTAATGGCTTAGCAAAAAGAAAGAGAAGGACATAATGAGGTGAAAAATGTTTGGGAACTAGAACTTTCTAAAATATTTAGATAGTAGAAACCACAACCAAACTTGATTTCAGTGAGCACTGAGAAAACTTTCTAGCCATGTTCCCCACAGGAAACCTACGGCAGTATGCATAAGACCAACTGCAACTACAAAGCATTATAAGAATTTGAAACATACCTCACCAAATGAATTGCCTCAAAGATAACACGTCCCTTTGCTAAGCTAGGACGTTGTCGACTAGAAGGAGATAAAATAGAATCTTTCTCTAATTTTGTGCAAGTAGCAAATTCTCTTTTGTTGTATGATTCTGGATCAATTGCCTCACAGAATAAATCCAGCAGTCTGACTTTTTCACCCTTACCAGTTACATATAGGCACTACAATGTAAAATATGTCAAGAAACAAAAAAGAAATTAGTTGAATGACATGATTGTGTAACCAGATCAAAGGATGAAGCCAGAGAAAATTGTAAAAGGAAGAAAAAGGTGGAATCATAAAGCCAAGCATGATTACGAAAGAAGGGCAGCAATTCAAAGCAAAATTTCCACTCATAAAATCATCAATTTAGCCAAAAATCAAGCAGTTTTTTTGGTGAAAATAAGGCAAAAGGCCAGAAATGCAAGTACTTTAGCATAACCTTCAATATCATAAACAATAAGCTTCAACCTAGCATCAGATTGTTCACATCTGACCAATGTGTTGGTCAAGATTGTGTAGACTTTTTTTTAAGCTTTTTATATTTTGAATAAATTAATAATGAATTGGCATATCATATCTACACTAACATTAATACGCCAATAGTATCATCAGCTAAAGTCAAATTCCATTGCAAGCAATGCCACAAGTGAGTAAATAACAAAATAAAAAATTTTATGGTTGCAATTTGAGAGAAAAAAAGGTCCACCTTAGAATGTTAAAATGACATAATTCATGTCAAAACATCAGGGGAAAGGAAAAGACTGAATCTCACCAAAACCACAGCTCTCCACTGATTCTGTAATCTCTTTAATTCTGAAAAAGCATGAGCCAAACTTTCATTGGTCTGTTTGGTCATTTTAACCCTGCTTGCAGATTTGGGAACCCATAAGAGAATTACTTCCCTATTCAACATATTTACATAAACTGCAAATGCAACAAAAGTTACATTGTTGGTATTTGAAATACCTCTGACATGATGGGAGGTTAAAAACATGCTTCCACATCACTTCTGGTGATAATCCATACCGCCCAATTTCTAATACCTACAACGACAAAATACAAGCGAAACAAAACCTTTGATACATAGATCTATAACAAAAAAGGTAAAAACAAAGAGACTTTTAAACCAAAGTAGTGCAAAAATCAGTATCCAGTTATGCAATGTATGAAATTCTGATTGTATGAAGGAATCATAGAACATTAAAGGTAGCAACAAACCTTCAACTACATGCCATTAACTGAATTGGAATCACTTTCTTTAAGGGCACCCCAAAAGAAAAAAGAAAATCCATACTTCAAATCCTTAAAGATTATAAAACCAAAAGAACCAGATGATGTGCAAATGTGAACACTAGAATATATGGTTATTCATGAAGACAATAAAGAATACCCTCATGATAAATTAAAGAAAATTCAAGAATTAACCATACACTATTATTGATAATGCAAAAGTTAAAACCTTGTCAGAGATAACTAAGAAAACTAACCCAGTTTTCCTCTTCAAGAACAAATTCGTGTAAAATGAAACTCAGAGGCTCCACAAAGAAATGTTGAGTGCATGCTATCTGAAAAACACTTCCTTAAAACATAACATCAGCAAGAATGTAATTACATTCACAAGACGGAAGAAAGTAGCTGCAACACTCCAAACACAGTGAAAATAATAAACTTCTATCTATATCCATACCAAATGGAGTTACCAACCTTTAAAGCTCTAATAAAAGATGTTAGAGTTCCATCCTGGCTTACAAAGTAGTTTCTCATAAAAACTGCAACCTTGTGGCCAATACTGAACCCAGAACAAGGTTTCACAAGAACAGCCTCAACAACTGCATCCATTCTCTCAGCTGGGGTTCCCAAGGTGAACTCAAAGGGGCACAAGCGCTGTAAAGCATTTGAAGGAAGTATATTTCTTTGGGTATCAAGGGTTGTTGCAACCCCCATTATTAGAATAACTGGAATCTTGACAACCCATTCACTGATCAGAAACAAAAAAGCAAGTTCATTACAGACTGTGAGGTGACTGTGGCTTGGTTTGGTTGTTACAGTTGGTACTTGCATTTTGTTTCCAAAAGCAAAAATTAAAAAATGTGTTTGGATATAAGCATTATAAAGACTGATGGTAAGTATACTTCGATATAAAAGCAAATATAAATATAAATATAAATTAAGGTAGTAAATGGCTCTTAGGCCTAAAACTTACAACAAGCAATGCTTATACTAGCAGATGAGTAGTAAGGTCAAATTAAACCTAGTGTCAAAAGTACTGACAAACAAGGCAAAGTCTGGTTCCAGAAATAAGACTGATCCTGAGCAAGAGGAGAATCTGAGTAGATAAGCAAATGATAAAGAGACAGTTTAGGTTGAAAAAGAATAACAGGATGCATGTAATACCTTAACATAAGGATGAAATCAGACAAGACAGACCCACAACAGCGCTCAATGTCATCAACAATCACAACCACTGGATTTTTGTAGTTCTCTTCTCCATACCATGATGCTAAGATTGATATGTCAGCTGGCTGCTCAAAAACAAAAAACAACTTACAAAACTTTGCAAGTAAATTGTAGTCCAACACTCAAAGAAACTAGCTATCTGTACTTACATCCAAAGTAGACTTTAAAAACTGTCTTAATAAGCTTCTTAGACAACCACCAATCCCATTTTTGGCAATAAAGTCCAGTGAGGAAAGGTTAGCAACATGGCATCCTTGAGATTTCAAATGTTTCCCAAGCGCGTCAAACGTCATTAGATCATCAACAAACTCCATATTCTCTGCCAATCATTATACACTATAAAGAATAGTTCTCGCAAACAGCACATACTTATTGCACATCTCGCTTCCAACAATATAGACCAAAGAATTTAGGAACATTAAACCAGCTAAGGTCAATTACTCCGACCAAACATTAAACTAAAAGTACATAGTATAAAACTTACTAGTGAGAACAAGCCCGGTAAATAGCTTTCTAGAATTAGCATCTGTTATAACAGGGAAAGATTGAGTCGCTTCAAGAAAATCAGGAGTTCCAAGTGATCTAATCGTGTCAAAAGTTTGATGCACCCAACTTTGTATTTCACTAAACACACTAGTATTAATATCTCTCAGAACATCCTGCAATTAAAGCTTTAAAATGTTAAAAAGTGTAAAATGGAAGAAAAAAACATTACAAAAATGAAAACTAGGACTTTCGACCTACTTTGATGGTTGACTTGATTTTTGACCAAACAAATTCAAAAGCTTCCATTCTTAAGTTCATGTTTTCATCTTCCTTTTCGTCTTCAGGATTCTCGGAATTCTTAGGTAATGCTGGAGACAAATCAATTCTCCTTCTTGTTTTTCCTGTTCCTGATGATTTTCTCTCCGATTTCCTCAATGATCCTTTTTGAAGAACAAAAAACGGCTGCCAATTTTTTGAAAAAAATAAATTAACAAATCTATTCAAAACTTCAACCTCTTCAAAATTTTAACGATTCATTGTATATTAAATATTTTTTCTTTTTTTTAACAGCGAATTCGTCTTTTCCTGAGAACCAAACAAAAAAAATAAAGTGATGATTTAAAAAATGGAATGAAAATATATATATATATATATATATATAATAGGCAGAGAGAAGGAACCTGGAGATTGTTTTCAGTGACGGCATCGATTGAAGGCGGCGAAGCATCATCTAGAGAGGAAGCCATTGGTTTTTATTTTTGGTCGTTTTGATAGATTTGAGAGGATTTTATGTGCCCTTTTAGGGTTTATGAGTATTTCGGGAGTCCTGGGGCTTTTCTCTCTCTTTCTGTTTTGGCGGGAAATGGCTCGGTGTAGAAGTGTCAAATGAAATTGTTCTATTGGTTTGGGGTGGGCTTAGCTGTGTTTGTGGATCTCTGTCCAACTCTTCAAAATCCAATATCCAAATTCAACTGGGCCATGGACTTTTTTTTGGTAATTTAGCAATTTTTTCCTGCAAAACTTAAACGATTTTATAACTTGATAATGAAATTTTAAACCCTGCAAGTTGAGTTTACCGTATCGTTGCATCTCCTATAGATCAAAATAAAAAAAATTAATAAATTGATCATAAAAACAAATGTATATGGTTAATTATATTGACTTTTTCGTGAGATCTAAAAACTCACATTATCATTTCAAATTATTTTTATCCAAAATTAAAAGGCAGAAATAAAATTATTTAAAGAGAATGTGGTTCATTATATCTACAAATTTGCTTTCATTCAATATAAGTTGTTCAAGGAAAGTATTCATATTTAAAATAATATATAATCATCTTTATTTTACCTTTCACAAAAAATAAATAAAACCATTCATTTGACACTCTTTTTAAACTTATTATGATTTATTTGAAAAAAATCTACCAAAGATCACCCTCCACATCAAGGAGACAAAGTTTGAAAAAAAATATATTCACAAAAAAAAGTGAGTCACAAATTATTATTGGGGCAAAAAAATGAAAAAAAAATTTCTAGTGTGTGAATCCTTCTTGAAAGGAAAAAGTGAAATGAAAGGAAAAAATGAAAAAGAGAGAAAATATGAAGGCACCTGATAAAGAATGGGGTAAAATGTCAAAGTGCTTCAAATAATAAGAGATGATCCTTTAGTTTACACCCTTTCAAATACATATTTTGAGCCTACTTTATCCATTATTTTTTTCATAACCTTTCACCATAACCTTAATTACATGCCTTAAAAATCTATTTCGATCAAATATGAATGTTGAAATTAAATAATTATATATTGAGTTGGGCATACTTATGGATAATGAGATTTTGTATTTTGGGAATTCATATGGAATTTGATTGAATGCTAATGAGGAATGAAGTGAAAAAAAAAAAAAAAGGAAAAATGAAAAATGAAAAGAAGGGAAAATAAATATTTAAATTAAAAACTCAAAAGGACGATTTAAGTAAAAGTAAATATATTAGCTGAAAACAAGAATTAGACAACCTAAGAGTATTCAAGAGTCCAATGGCTAAGGGCAAGATTTAGATTTTAAGCCCAAAAAGATCAAATGTATTAATAAAATGAGTTTCTAAGAAAGAATTTTGGATTTGTGTTAAAAATTATCTGAATATTTATTATTTTGAATGTTCAAATCCCATCCAAGAACTAATCCTAACAATATTATTTGAGATTATCTATTTGTCTATTATCCTTCACTGGACTTATCTTTGTGTCGAATATCTTTATTTTTCAAATCACTTTGTTTTTCATCATTTTTTTGAAATCCTAAAATAAGAAAATATGTAATGAATAGCATTTTTTATGAAATTAAAATGATGAGGAATAAATGAAAAAAATACATAAAAGATTCTTACATTACTTCAAAATGAAAATCGATAGTGACATTGGCAAAATAAAGATAGTGTGATGAAAGAAATATATGAAAATGTTAAGCCAGAGAACTTTCAAAATAAGGAATAAGCATTTCTAGAAAAGTTCAGATTTAGTGAAAAAAATATTTTGATTCATAAAGTGGTTGATAGAAGTTATTAAGATAACTAGTATTGAAGATGAAAAGAAAAAAAAGTCTTGAAAACCTTTTTACCACAATTATGGATGCATTCATTACTTCTCATGCATTGCATTCATAACATTCATTGTAAACAATAAGTTTAAATTAGCAAAAGGTTGAGAATTTTTCGAGTAAATGAATTTTGAACTAGTAATGTCCTTGGTTGAGAAAAATATTTTAGATAATCTTTGATTGAAAAAATGATAAAACTTTTAACTCTTAATTGAAAAGTTTCACGAAACATTCTTCTGTCTCAAAGAGCATTTTGTTTTTTAAGAATGAATAGGATTTGTGAGCCATTCGAGCATGATCATTAAAACATGTATTTATTATTTTTAAAATAATTTGATCTTATATTTTAACTTAGGGTCTGACCTAGTTATTTTTTACCTTGATTCAGTTCAAGTCATTTAATTTTTTGACTTACAATTTAGTCCCGATCACTTATTTTCTTCATTTGTTCAATCCAAGTCATTTAATTTTTTAACTTGGTTCAATCCGATTACTTTTTTTTTTTACTTTGGTTCAGTCCGATCACCTTTATCTAAGACTTTGGCTTAGTTTGGTCATTTTTATCTTCAACTTTGGTTTAGTTCAATCATCTCCATCTTCGATCTTGGCTCATTCCAATCACTTTTATTTTTTACCTTAGTTCAATCCATTTACTTCCATTTTTCGACCTTAGTTCAGTCCAATCACTTTCATTTTTTTACCTTAGCTCAATCCGATCATTTTTCTTTTCGATTTTGGCTCAGTCTGATCATTTTTATTTTTGATCTTAGCTCAATCTAGTCAATTTTATTTTCGACCTTGACTCAATCCGGTCACTTTCATTTTTAACCTTAGTTCAGTCCAATTACTTTTATCTTCAACCTTAGTTTAATTATGTCACATTCATCATTTAACTTTTGGGTTCAATATAAATCATATATATTTTTTATTTCGACTAAGGCCAAATTATTTTATTTTTTGACTTCAACTAAGATCAAGTTATCTCATTTTCTAACTACAGGTAAATCTCAGTCATCATGTTTCAACCTTTAACTTAGTTTAAGTCATCATTTTTTATTTTTGGCTTAGTTCAAGATATTTTTTTTTATCGTTAATCTAGTTTAAGTCAATTCATTTTGACCTTCAACTAAGTTTAAATAATTTCATCTTCAAACTCGGATATAATGGATATTTATATCTTTACATAATTCATGTTACAAAAAAATGCATTAAAAAAAATTATAAACACCCCATTTAGTCCGATGTCTAAATCAATTGAGTCTAATTTAATTTTAAACCCTAAAGTCCAAAATCTATTAGGTTCAGATTTATCCAAATCCCAATGATTTCTTTTAATTATGATTATTTTTATTATTTGTCTGCATATATTTTTTATCTAATTTATTCTAATATCTTTTTTTATTTTCTTTATCTGTTAAAAAAATAAAAATTTTGTTACCTTTATCTTTTAATTATCTTTAATTTCAATTATCTTTTAATTTATCTGATATTTTAAAATAAATAAAAAATCAAAAGATTGGCTTTGTTAATAAATCAGAAATAATAATCCACAGTTTCAAACTGAGTTTGAAGTGACCTAAAATTCCTTTAGCTTGTCCTATAAATAAACTTGAGCTCACAGTGAATCAACAGACATAACCACAAGGCAATTCACAGAGAAAAACACCGAAAAATCATGAACCAAGATCACCCCATTGATTAACAAATTCCCAGCATACCAAGTCTTCATATCCATTCCCTACTATCAATTCCCATCAATCAACACCTAAGCCTTCCACAATCGAGATTCAACCTAACTCCTCACAAACCCAAAAACACACACCAACATAGAGATTACAATTCACATATACAAAAATATTCCTAGTTACCAATAGACACACCACAACCATAAGCCAAACTATCAGCCATTGAAACTTTTGGTCGTATTGCAGCTATTAGAGTTCATCTTTTACCATCTATAAACCCATCATTGATCCAATCACCAAAGCAATCACACTCAACTACCAACAATCCTACCAGGACCACCAATATAAACAACCCAGCCTAGAATATCACTCATCGAAATCACAGACCTGAAAGCCTTACATCACTGTGGATTACCTAATTTCAGCCATTAAACCCACATTCACCCAACCATTTATACCTAGTGCAACCACCACCAAAATCAACAAGCCAAGAAATACCCAAAATCTATAATACCCGAAATCCAATAGACAATCAAAATACAAAATTACAATTAGCCCAAGGTATGTCATAAAAACAGAGAATACAAGCGACAAACAATGTAGGAAACAGAGAATACAAGCAACAAGCGATGTAGAAAAATAAAAATTATGTCGATCGCTCTAAGGTTATTAACGTCTTGAAATCTGCTTATGAATTTTTTAGAAAGAGGTAGAGAAAGACGCCATTTCTTATAAAAAGAAACAAATGTCTATGAAATTAGGGTTTTACTATAGGTTAGTAAAGATGATTTAAAATGAGCCATTTTGGTGGGATTGGAATTATTAAATAAATAAAAAGGGAAAAAAGAATAGGTAGCCCGACCCATTGCATAGCTTGCTCATAGTCTGTCCAATCTATTGATTCAACAACTTATATCAAGTTTGCAACGAGAAGCAAAAATCAAGAATTCAAATTTGCCCTAGCTTTGGTATTGTCATTTTTTCTTTCCTATCATTTGTTTACTTTTTTTTTCTATTCATATATTTATTATTTCTTATTATATATATCTTTAGAAAATATTTAATATATAAAATGCATAGGTATACAGAAAACGTAATAAAAAATCAAGTAAATTTTAATTAAGTAAATGTGCAAATTTACGCCAATTGGTACAATTAAATAATTTTTAATTAGGTTATAGAAATGAATGGAAATAACTTCCATGATGACGTTATAAAAAAAATGGTAAGTTTTTTTTTTTTGTGAGATTGTTTGTTCTAAATTTAGCTCAAATGGTGAAATAATTTAGATAAAATTTTAATAAAAATAATTGCATTAGTTTTCAAACCAAAAATAAGAAAAATAATAAATTTTTTTTTTTGAAAATATATGACAATTAGTTAATGATAAAATATCAAAAAAATAAAAAATGGTTGAATTTTTAGGAGATTTTTAGGTAAAAGTTTTTTCAAAATTCAACCCAAAATGGTGAAAGAGTTTGGAAGAGATTTCAAACAGTAATTTGTATTTTATTTTCATTTTAAAAATTAAGAAATATATAACAAATAAAATTCAATAGTAAGAATCTA